ACGTTTATTACAACACCCCAACAGGGTTCCTACATAAACGTACACTGGTTCTACATCTAGGTGATAACTACACGGTTAACTAGACCACAAAGGGGTAACTACATAACCGGGTCAGTCAGCAACATACTGCCTGACCCACGATGCCGAGCGTAACATTAAAGACCGAAGATCGAGGATCGAAGAGATGTAGCACCGACGGGTTCCATTCCAACTGGGTCCCGAACCCTCTCGGGACTGCCCCTTTATCCTGCTAAGCATGGCCTGACTCCGCCCTCGGCCACACCCCCTTCTAGATCCTACCAGAAGGCTCTGGCCCATATAACACGTCCCTTGAGCCCCCTTTCGGGCCCCATTGCTCCCGTACCTTGGTCACGTGCCCTCTTGGGTTCACACAGAGTATCACGTCCTCACTTGTTCTCTCTCCGACCCTCACCAGAACTATGTCCCCTAGGGCCCGCTTCAATGCCATATCCACTCTGGTGCTAGAGAGAGACTCAAGATGCACAGTTCCACTCCTGTGACAGTAGCTGGCGCTAACCACCCTAGTGACTCCATATAAGTCACGACACATGTAGTGAGATGGTTACCGGATATATTGGTAGGCAAATGTGTGCACAAGACAAAGTTCACGCGGACAAGATCTTGAAAATATTGCGCAAGGAGATGCTGATGCTGCCCGTGCTTGTGGTTGTCGTACTGAACTTCAGGCATTGCTAGTGAACTTTGCTACCTGACTAACGATTAGCTCGCAGCGTATTCCGTACGTCATGGCCAATTCGCTTGAGTGGGAAGGAAATAATAGTACGCGCATAACAAAAATAAGTGTCAATCTAACGCGTTATTTCAAAATCGCGTTACGTAAACTCGCGGAAAACGAGAGGCGACTGAAATGTAACAGGCAAGTTAGGTGCTATGGCCGCAGATCATTGCTACTGGATAGAGAACTGAATTAGATATTACAACTGTGACTTATATGTTAAGAATTTCACTTCCTTTTATTATGGAGCCCAAGGACAGAACACATTGCCAGGCATGCCTGCATGCATTTCAGGGTCCATTAACACGTTATTTTTGTTTAACTGGTTTAATTATCACACCTCCGATTAACATGGTTGGCTAAATAAGGTGAAAAATAAGTTCAAGATACATCAAATAAAGAGCCATGGCCAATCTACTGCTGGATGAAAGCCGCCTCAAGCTGCTGCCATTTCTCACGATCGGAAATATAATAATAGTTCCTACACACGAACTGGTTTAGAGTATTTGGCGACTATAAATTTCCACACAAGCCACGTGGTTGAGCGATTTGTGGATAGGTCGCTTCTGAAAAAGAGCTATATAGCTCAGTGGGCCTTACCTGGTAATACAAATTTTTATTCTTAGTTCTTTCGGTAAAGTCACGTTGAAGGGAAACAATAAAATAATAATATATATAAAACAATAAAAATTCTCACGACGTTTCGACCATAACACAAACGGTCGTCATCAGGTGTGTCGGTTTGCATACATTTATTTATTTTCAAACGGCGTATCTATTAATTTATTAAAAAAACCGTCAGCGCCACGCGCAGCTATTTGGCAGTTTATTTAGAAGGACGAGTCCATCTATGTTCTGAAGAGAGGAGGGGGGAGACGAAAAAATTAATGTATGCTGTCTGAAAGCCACTGTAAGCGTGAACAATCAATTAAGACCTGAAATGGTTTATCAAATCTTTACAATGATTGCTAAGCCAGAATCCATCTTCTCGGTTGAAATTGTCTCAGTGCTTGTATATGTGGATAGCCTCATGAACGAATCTCTCATGGTAGCCAGATGGCTTACAAAGAACCTCTGTCTTGGAAAAGTCAATGTCATGTGAGCCTACTGGATTATAACAATGATCTGCCACGGCCGAGGTGTTGGTCCTACCGTGTTTAAGGTCTGCTTTGTGTTCACGAATGCGGTCCGAGACATGGCGTTTGGTTTCTCCAATGTAACTACTACCACAGAGGCAACTTAGTTTGTAGACACCAGGGTACTGTATGTCCGGAATCACATCTTTTACAGACGGAACCAGATCACGGATTTAATGTAATGTGTTGAAACGGACCTGGATCTTGTGTTTATTCAAGATTTTGGAGATCTTTTTGTGATCCCCGCAATGTAGGGTAAAGTGATGGTTTTGAAAGGCTCCTCAAGAGGGTCCTTCTTCATGGTTTGAGTGATAGCTTTGCGGATTGTATAGTCGGAGTAACCATTAGCCTTAAGAGCTTGGTGTACGTGCTTGAGTTCACTGCCTATGTGTTCCTGGTCGGATATGCATTGGGCTCTATGATACAGAGTCTTGATGAGAGAGTTCTTCTGTGATGGATGGTGGTGGGAATCCGGTTTCAGATAAGCATCCGTATGGGTAGCTTTCCTGTAGACAGTGTGGCTCATTGAACCATCAGGTCTCTTTTTAATTAGGACATCCAAAAAAGGTAGCTTGCCATCTTTTTCGACTTCCATGGTAAATCTGATGGCTGGGTGTATGGAATTGATGTGGTCGAAGAATTGGTCTAGAGCAGGCCGGCCATGTGGCCAGATGACAAAAGTGTCATCCACGTACCTCTTCCATAAGGTTGGGCGCAGAGTGGCAGTCTGGATGGCATCAGTCTCAAATTTTTCCATGAAAATGTTAGCTATAACCGGAGATAGGGGGGAGCCCATTGGGGTGCCCTCAGTTTGTTTGTAGAAAGTTCCATTCCAAGTGAAGTATGTATTGGTTAAACAGTGTCTCACCAGGGGGGGTACCTCAGTGTTTAGTCCTTGATGAACCAAGTCTTCAATGATTGCGATGGTGTCAGGTACAGGAACCTTGGTGAATAAGGAAACTACATCAAAACTGACAAGCAGGTCGTCTGGGGACAGGAAAATACCCTTGATTGTCGATACCAGGTGAGTAGAATTTTGTACCGCAGAGGTGGTTTTTCCAGTGAAAGGACGCAGGATTTCAGACAAAAAAACGAGCCAGTTTGTAGGTGGGGGAGTTGATAGTAGAGACGATGGGACGAAGGGGTGTATCTACTTTATGTATTTTTGGTAAGCCGTATAATCTTGGTGGCCTGGCAGCAGAAGGTTTCAACGAAAACTGTTTAGATTGATCAATTAATGCGGTTGAATCAGAAATTATTTTGTTGGTTTGTGTGACGAGGCTGTTGGTGGGATCTCTTTTTATTTTTGTATAACTACCATCGTCGAGTAATTCTTTAATTTTGTTGTTGTATTCTATTTTATCCATGATGACAGTAGCATTGCCCTTGTCAGCTGAGAGGACTACAATATCATCCCTCTTTTTTAATTTATATAATTCAAAACGCTCATCTTTGCTGAGGTTGCTAGCTGGCATCTTAGCGTTTTTGAGGGTTGCAGCGATTTCAGATCTTGCTATGTCTGCAGCGATGTGACCCAGGCCCCTGAGAGCAACGTCTACTTGGGCAATTATATCATTAACTGGTATGTGTTTAGGTGTGACTGCAAAGTTTAGACCTTTAGCTAAAACGGATTTCAGACCATCGGAAATAGAACTGTTACTGCGATTAATTACGACTTTGTTAACGTCTAACTTTTTGGTGTGTGGGTCCGGTCTTTTGTTGAAGAGGAGGTTAAATTTGGAAATCAGGTTGTCCTTACATTTGGTCGACATAGTAGCAGCTGAAGAGGCAGTCATATTGTCTACATGTTCCCAATCCGATGTGGACATTGTTGCCGTCAATGATAAGTGTGATTTGTAGAGTGTCTTGTCTAACTGATCTAGTTCGGTGCGTATAAGTCTGATTTTTTCTGATATAAGAGCTAAGCTAGTTTTGAAAAGAATTCGTTTCGCATTAGAAGACGTTACAGCAGCAGAGGTCAGTGTAAATGCGATTGGTAGTAGTTACATTGGAGAAACCAAACGCCATGTCTCGGACCGCATTCGTGAACACAAAGCAGACCTTAAACACGGTAGGACCAACACCTCTGCCGTGGCAGATCATTGTTATAATTCAGTAGGCTCACATGACATTAACTTTTCCAAGACAGAGGTTCTTTTTAAGCCATCTGGCTACCATGAGAGATTCGTTCATGAGGCTATCCACATATACAAGCACAGAGACAATTTCAGCCGAGATGGATTCTGGTTTAGCAATCATTGGAAAGATTTGATAAACCATTTCAGGTCTTAATTGATTGTTCACTCTTACAGTGGCTTTCAGACAGCATACATTAATTTTTTCGTCTCCCCCCTCCTCTTTTCAGAACATAGATGGACTCGTCCTTCTAAATAAACTGCAAAATCGCTGCGCGTGGCGCTGACGTTTTCTTTTTTAAATAAATAAATACACCGTTTAAAAATAAATACATTTATGCAAACCAACACACCTGATGACGACCGTTTGTGTTATGGTCGAAACGTCGTGAGAATTTGTAGTTTTATATATATTTTATTATTTTATTGTTTCCCTTCAACGTGACTTTACCGAAAGAACTAAGAATATGAATTACTGCAGTCACGAAAGCTTTAAATAAAAAAATACAAATTTTGTTCAATAGTTTAGATTTCATTGTTCCATTTCCTCGATAGATATCTTCTTGGATGCGTTCCATTCCTTGACTAGAACGTCTTAATGATTCTTGACCATCATCCATCATCCCTTGGAGCGACGGTTACTCCCCAAGCCAGGTTACCTTCGTAACAATTTTCATGATGTATGTATGTTGAACTTATTTAGCACTGTAGATAGGCCACCAGGCTAATTGGAGGTGTGGGGGAAGGACAACAAATTAAAAGTGCATAACTCCAGTAGCTTCCTAATATTTGCAAGGAAAAGGGTTCCAGACGGCCACCAAAGCGCATCTAAAACGTGCGATGCCGTGAAAATGTAATTCACCCGAGTGTGTTCTCTAGCCTACGTTATCCTCTTCCTGTCTCTCGGTGTAATAACAAGCATGCACTTTTCAGTTTTTGTTCCATTAAAAAATATCTCGTGAAATGCCCACATTTGTGAACCATGTCGTGAACATAGTTTTATTTGTAATAGATTTATATTTACATGGCTTTGAAAGCAGAAAACAAATACATAAACGTAATAAATGCATTATTAAAACAATATAATCGCAAAATATTGTAATCAACGACAGTGGCATAAATTAAAACTACAATTTTAAAAATAAACGCAGCATAAACCACAACAGAAATTTGGGGCAAGTGGTGCGGCCAGCACCAGGCCCGGCCGTCATTGTCTCCGTAGTGTCGATGTTTACACACCGCACCAGGCACTTATTTAAGACCGAATCCACCTAGGGGAGGCCCAGGACCGGTTCAGATAATTGACACTGGTGTTGGCCGCGAGCGGGAATCGAAGTCGGGTCACTGGGTTCGTAGCGCAGCGCGCTCACCGATATACACCCGGTATATATAATAGGCAACGTTTCGGGCGACCGCCCTTCTACGCACACGTGGTCTGATGCACAATTCCCTGTCCTGCATTTAAAATTTGGTAGGACCCTCCTGGAATACTCTTGGGGGTCAGTGAGGCTTTCCTATATGTAAACAAGAGTAACTATAGTACTAATAATGGAATAATCTACGCATATTTCATTCAAATATGCATTCTTGCCGTGGTGGTGGTCCATCTTCACAGTGGTTGTCCTCTCCGGCACGTTATCTCCTCGTGGTGCAATGCAATCGCGTGGGTCCTACTATCGCAATGGGTCCTACCAACGACTCTGGGAGTCTGAATTAGCATTTGGTGCCCTGCTCTGTGTGCTTCTTCCGATTTCTCAGCATAATTTGCTGCCATGCACAGCTCCGTAATTCGTAGCTGGACGTATTCTGCACTGGCTGAAAAAGTACTTTAAAGGTATATGGGTCGTCTGCTTTTCACTCCGGAGTTTCAGCTCTTACGAAACCCCTCCACCAAATAGTCGACCAGCCTGACGCGTGGCCACATCGGCTATAATGTCTTCAGAGCCCGATAAAATATGTATCACTTTGTATAAACATATAACCATCATCATCATCATCTCTATGGAGTTAATAAAATGATTGGCACTACTTTGTCAAAAATCCTAATGTAGTTGTATCCCTGGTAGAGACCCATCACCCACCTTGGCAATGTGGAATTTACACTTCTGGCTGGCTCCGGACTGCCAACGGCGATGAGCGCGCCACCGACATCGCGTGACTTTACTGTACCGATGAGTTCTGAGGATGCAACCACGCTACAGTCCTGTCTCTGTGTCACTGCTGCCTGTTGGGATGGCCACGTATTCTCAACTCTAAAAAAATGTAGGGGGGGGGGGGTTACGACACAGCAAAATATGCCAAGCGTTCAGCTCTTTTGAACTGGTGGTCTGGATAAGGCTGTGATCGCTTGAATACGCAATGCTGCGCTCCCTCCTGTGTGTATGGTTGAAGTTCAGTTATTTATCTGTTTCTCGCGGAGGAGACGAGTGAAGTGACGTCATTGCTTGACCAGGGGCGGGGGGGTCAATGGGAGACGTGGAGAGGAAACGGCGGCCAGCGGGCCGCATGCAATACCCCGCGGCCCCGATTCACACGGCCCAGGGCCACACAAGGCCTGCCACTTCGAAACAGCCCCCTTCAAACGACCTTTGCTCGCGTTACTGCAAGCGTCTTAGCCGCACTAATCGGATACTAGAGGGAGGGGGTGGATATATTTGACATGGAAACAACACTGTGTGAATGTTATTTTTGTATGTCCTGCTCAGTCACTTGTTCATAATAAAGGGGTTTCTTTTTGGGTTAGATCGCGTAAATGTAAATGTATCGTTAACCCACCACCACCCGACACAGCCACTCGGTAAGGTTCGTCACGTAAAACGAAACGTGCCGATTAGCTACCACCGGAGTGCTGGAGAGTAAACCCATGAAATTTACAATTTGAGTACTACGTTTCGCTGGTGATTACAACCAGCTTCATCAGGCGATTTGCCATAATTGTGAAGAAGTCTTCATGTTTCCGCGCTTAAATAGAGTAGTAAGATGATGTCATCACTGTGCTAACTCAGTCACTTGTGTCACTGCAATGGCCCCTAAGTAAAGTGTAAAGCTTCTCCACCCCCACCCCAGCTTAGAAAAAGGGGACAGGAAAAGCTCAGATGCGGTTCAGCGTGAGGGCGATGTTGAGTTTATGAAAATACGAGCGGAGCTTGCACAGCGGGCAACTCCGGCTCTTCTCTCGCGCCTCCGCTCTCCTCTTCTCAGCCTGCATCTTCCTCTCGCGCTGCCTCTCTCTCTGCCGAGCCACCTTTTGTCTCATTTTCTGCTGAAGTCTCTTCTGCTTCTGCTGCTGCTGTTTCTTTTTCAGATGCTGCTTTTGGTGCTGCTGCTTCTGCTTCTGAGACTGGTGATTATTTTTCTGTGGTGGCTTCTGCTGTTGTTTCTGCTTTTGCTGCTGCTGAGTCTGATGATTGTGTTTTTGTGGTGGTGCTGGTGGCTTCTGCTGTTGTCCTTTCTGCTGCTGCTGCTGATGATGAGCCTTAACACGCTGCTTTTGCTGATGCCAATGCTGCTGCCACTGCTTTGTCGCCGTTGGGTTGACGTTGGGAACCTTTGCGGATGACGATGGCGACGATGACGATGACAATGTAGAACCTTGAGACGGTGGTGACGATTGGGATGACGATGATGTCGCTACTTCCAATGAAGATGACTCTTCTGAAGATTTTGATGCTGTTGATTCTGATGATGACCCTGATGATGCTGATGACCCTGATGATGGTGGTGGTGGTGAGGGGGCAGGGTCCCAGGGAAGCCACGCTCCGCCTGTGAGGCCCGGGTCGGCTCGCCGGTCGTGAGGAGGGAACCACACGGGCACAGCTGAGCGGTTGTACGCAGCGAGACGGAGCAGCAGGCCTGGGAGGTGGGGAGAGGCGAGACACCACAGGGGGGAGGGGAGAGAAGACCGGGGTTAGGGGTGAGGCAGTGCTGAAGGTGGTAGAAAGTGGGAGTGCGTAGTCATGTAATTGATTTATTATTATTATGACGATCATTTGAGATCCCCTGGCCGATAGGCTCGCATTATTAAAGGTGCCAAACGAGCCGTTTGGCACGATTCCCGTTGGGTACTCACTGTGATATTCAAGCCGTGTGATTTGTTGATAGTTCTTCCTACTACGTGTACGTAATTACAAGTGTGTGTATGTGTGGGGGAGCCATAGTTTAGTAGTTAGTGTGCCGCACTATAAATTCAGCGACCCGAATTCGATTCCTGCTCGTGGCCACCACCAGTGACAATTATCTGAACCGGTCCTGGGCCTCCCCTAGGTCTACTCAGTCTAAAATGAGTACCTCATGCGCTGTGTGAACATCGTCACTGGGGAGACAAAGATAGCCGGGCGTGGTGCTGGATACCCACCCCCTCGTGTGCGCCATGCCGCCCTTCATAAGTGCTCGCTAACAGCGCTTGCCCGAAAAGTCTGTTCACACTTTACGGGGAATCTTTGTGTGTGTCTCTGGGCGCGTGTCGAGTGGTGGCCCAGTAAATTGTACACTGCACCATTAGTAGGCCTTTGCGTGCTGCCGCCAGGGTCCAAATTTTTGCCAAATTTGTTAATTGGGATCATACACCGATATCGATTATCGCCTCCTACCGGTAGACCAATGCCTCCAGGTCGCTCTTGTAAACGAGACTCATCCCAGTCTCATGAGTCCTTACATTTCTTATGCCGACCCCGCGATATATCGAAACCGCGATGGGGAAAGTCCAGATGCAGAAGGGTCGACTGTATTTTTCCACCCTCCCCCTATATTGTGATACGCGTCTATTCTAAATAAACAACGCACGAAATAATGCATTGTGAAAGGGGCTAAGAATGGGGAACATGCCACGTGTCAGTTGATGGGAGGGGCGTGGAAACTGTGCAGACGAGATAGTAAAGTGAGCGAAAGTGGAGAAGATGCGTGGATGTGGAGGCTACAGAGAAGATAATATTCATATTGGCTTACTTACCTAGGAGAGCCACACTGAGTTTGAAGAGTCCGTTTCAGGGGGAGGGGGGTCTTGTATTAAATGGGAATGTTTGGCCAATACCGGTGACAATGCATGTTTTACTTGCTTAACTATGGGAGGAAACCAGATAAACCCTGATGAAACACGTGCATAACAGGGGGAGAGAACATACAATAGGCACCCGAGTCGGAAATCGAACCCTGGTCGTTCTGGCTTTGTGCCACAACTTTTTACCACCATACTAACCTTGTGGTGTAGGCTGGAGAGAGAGAGAGAGTGGACAGGCACGACGGAAAGTACAGCAAGTAGGTCTGGTGCCTGTTAGTGCATCTCACCCAGCACCACCTCCGGGTAGAGCGAAGAGACGTCGTGTCGCTCGTAGGGGTCGGCCGATATATTGAAGAGCCACAACATCTTCACCTCCTCGCCGCCATCGTCGCTGCCGCCACTGTCAACGTCACTGTCATCGTCGTCATCATCATCGTAGTCGTCATCGTCGTCATCGTTGGTCACTTGCACGTGGCGGTGCCACGCGCGGTCTCCTTTGAGTCCCGAAGTCGATGGAGGTGTTGCTGGTGCTGCTCTACCTCCACCTCCTCCTCCACCTCCTTCTCCACCAACTGCTCCTCCACCTCGTTCACCGACTCTGCCTCCTCCAACACCTATTCCGCCGCCTCCTCCTCTTACACCTCCTCCACTGCTAACTCTTCCACCACCTCCTCCGCCTCTTTCTCCTCCAGCGACACCTCCACCACCACCACCACGACCACCACCTCCTGCTTTACCTATTTCTGCTCTATCATCACCCCTTCCTCCTCCTTTCGGCGGTGCCGAGTCCTTGACCGGGAACCCCACGAAGCCCATCCCGACCACCGCGCTGTGGCTGCCCGTCATCTTGGTCACCTTGCTCACCAGGTATGCCGTCACGGGAGCGCTCCTGGCGCTCGCGTGGCGCTGGCTACGGCTGTCGTTACAGCTGTGCGCACGCGTGCTCGTGCTCTCGGTGGCGTTCCTCGCATGGCTCTCGCATTGATGGCCGTCGCTGCCGTCGCTCCTGCTATCCCGTCGAGTCACGGCACCCGGGTAAGCGTTGTTGCCGTTGCTGGGATGGCTGTTGCTTAAGCTGCTGTCGCCACGGTGGCTGTTACTTCTGTCTGCGTTGCTGTGGCTCCCGTTTCTGCTCCTTGCATTGCTGTTCCGCGGAGTGCTGTCGACTTGAAGCATCTTTCTCCTCTTGCTGTTGCTGTGCGTTCTCATGGTCCCGTTGTTGTCACCCTGGCCGCAGTGCCGTTTGCTGTCCTTGCAGCTGAACCCGGGCCCAGTGCGATCCTTGCCCCCAGCTGGGCTCAGCTTGCTGTCCACGTGCTGCTGCTGCAGCAGCGGCTGCTGCTGCAAGATATAGTTGCTGCTGTCGATGACGTTGCTGTTCGTGTAGTGGCTGGGGAATAATCTTGTCCCGAGATTGCCGCTCGGCGACGCTGATGATGACGACCCTGATGATGAAACAGAAGAATGAGACGACAAAGACAACGAGGATGATGATGCCCTCGCCTCTTCCTCCATCACTGCCCCTCTCCTCCCTCTCCGGCTCCTTCTCTTCTTCCCTTTCCTCTTCCTCCTCTCGCCCTTCCCTCTGCTGCCCTTGCTGCCTTTGCTGCTCTTGCCGCTGTCGCTGCCCTTTGCGATCCGCCCTCGCGAGTAGGAACGCCTCTCCAGGTTCCACCAGCGGCCCTGGAGCTCCGGCCCAGTCCGAACGGGGACCCAGTCGCCGTGACCCGGATCCCCGGTCAGCAGCTTCCAGGGCCCCGAGCGCAGCGCGGCGGTCACGTGGCAATCCCAGACGCCCAGGCTGCACGCCCAGTGCGAGGAGGATGGAGATGATGACGAAGATGACGAGGAGGATGAGGAGGACGAGGATGAGAGGGGGGAGGGGGCGACCCTCTGTCGCTGAGCGATTGCATGTCTAGAAACGCGCTGTGGTGGTGGGTGGGTGGGGTAAGATGTTAGCAGGTGAAAGGTGATTGGTGAGTGGTGGCGACGAGCCAGGTCAGGGGGTGGTAGGTGATTTGTGAGTTGACACGAGTGAGGCGTTGGCAGGTGACAGGCGAGGGGTGATGTGACGGGTGAGCGGTGAGAGATGATGCATCGGCAGTGAGGAGTGCAAGGCGATCGGTGAGGTGAAGAGTAAGGGGTCGGAGGAGATAGGTGAAATTACAGGTTAGCGAGTGGACAAGAAGTATTTATAGAGAGAATCATTATCATTGTTTGTATTGTCATCAGAATATTTATTTAAACTGGAAGGATCCGATTGACTAGAAAGCTCTTTTTCACAGATGTCCAGTAGGGGACGGATAACACACAAAAAATAAAAAAAACACGATCGGAGTGCAAAGTAGCAAGTCACTAATTATAAATAAAGTATTTGTAAATTGCACGTGCAGTTTTCTCTGTGCAATGAGGCCACGTGGACAGTCGTTTTACCAGGTAAGGTCCACTGAGCTACATAGTAGCTCTTTTTCAGAAGCGACCTGGCCACAAATGATAGCTCAGCGAAGTGGCTTATCATGTGGCAATTTATAGCATCCAAATACTTTAAATGCTATGACCTGGAGATAAATCTACGCAAGCACGGGGACTTCCTGAACACCAGGCGAGGTAGTTAACACCTAGCCACCGTGGTGAGATGTTCGCGCAGTGTGCCGGCGTGGCCATCAACATAAGGACTCCGACACTCACCTTCATCGGGTTGATGTTGTGTAGAATTTCCTTCCGTGGTGACTCACTGCCCTGGCTGATGACATCCCACACGTCAAAGCCGTCCAGGGGCAGGGGCAGCCGGTCTGATCCCTCACCAGTACCGTCTGATCCCCACCCAACGCCATTCCCACCTTCTCGCTCGTCTTCTTTGCCATGTCCTCCTGCACCGTCCCCTTTTCGTCTGCTCGCACCTCCTTTCCCTTCTTCTCTCCCTCCTCCAGCCACATGTGCTCGTGTGGTCCCATCTCCTCTCTGACCTCCTGTCATAACATTTCTGTGTTCTCCATTCCCACCTGTTATCCCATGACCTGCCACACCTTCTCGTCTGGCCCCACCTCCGCTCCCATCCGTCTGATCTCTTTTCCCATCACCTCTCGCGTCTTCTATCCCACCTTCTCTCCCACCTCTCCCCTGGCCCCACGACCCTCGGCCCACCCTCCCATCTCCCGTTTCACCTCCCCTCCCACCACCTGCGGCCACATCCGCCCGTCCGGTCCCATCTCCATGCCAGTCTCCTTCCTTGCCATCTGTTCTGTCTCCTCCTCCCTCTCCGTCTCCTCCCGCTCCTCCGTCCCCGTCTCCTGCTCCCGCCAGCCTCCTTTTCCTCCTCCTCTCCGCGAAGAAGGCGGGCAGGTCGACCCCAGCGAGGCGAGCCAGGGTGGGGAACCAGTCGGTGACGTGAATGAGCCCGCGGCTCACGGAGCCCTGGCGCTCCGCCGGGATTAGCGGGCTGTGCACGAAGCCGACGGCACGCATCCCGCCCTCCCAGTAGCTGCCCTTGCGGCCCCGCAGTGGCCAGTTGCTGCCCCCGATGTACGGCTGCCCCCCGTTGTCCGTGGAGTACACGATGATGGTGTTGTTGTAGTAGCCGTAGCGCTAGGAGGGAAGATTACGACGGCGTTACCGACGTTGCCACAATCGGCATCATTGACCAGGAAAGCCTAATTTATTTTTCAGACTCAAAGACTCTTGTGCAGTTTGGAGGCGATGTTGCCAACTGGGTACAATGAGCGCAACCGCAGTATTGACCAGGGCAGCCACACCGGTCAACCCGCAGACCTCTGCAATGGGTGGCAAAACGAGCGATGCCCATCGTGATCACCACACGGTTGTTATTGGTGTCACCATCATCATGGTTATCATAGTTACCATTGTTATCAGCACCATCATCAGTCAAAAATTATGACAATGGGGGGCATTGGTTAAACATCTCAATGTATCAGGGCCCTTCTGAAAAGGAGTCTTGAGACTCGTCGAAGCTCTCCCGGGTAAATAATTCGCGTAGTAATCATCAACGTGTTGATTGTCGTGGCGATTGTGGTGGTTTCCGGCGGTGCTCATGGTGGAGTCGCGCAGCTCCTGATGGTTATTGTAGTTGTTGTCGTGATGATGTGACCTGCAGTGCTCTGAATGGGTGAGTTCATGGGCGAGGGAGTGAGTAGGTAAGTGGGTGAGTAGGTGAGTAAGTGCGCGAGTGGGTGAGTGTATTGTTGAGTGGTTGAGAGTATAAATGAGTGAGTGTGTGAGTAGGTAAGTGAGCGAGTGAGTGAGTTCTTGCGACCTGCAGTGTGGTGGTAGTGGTGGTAGTGGTGGGGGGTGATGGATGAATGCAGCATGGGGATGAGACGACACGGCCAGTCCAGTGAGCCCCAACCCTCGGCACAGGTGGAAGGAGTCGGTCAGTGACGTTAAAACGGAGTGGCAGAGGGCGGAGAGGGTTTTTGACGACGGATGTTGAGGAAGAGGAGGTACCCTCACCTTGAGTGCGCGCGTGATGTTGCTCACCGCCTCGTCCAGCGCGGTGACCATGGCGAGGTGCCTGCGGCGCTCCACGCTCCAGAGGTGCGCGTAGGGCAGCACGAAACGGCGCGGAGCCTGTGCAGGGGCGTGCGGCGCACGGAACGCCACGTACACGAACATCGGCTTCTGCTGCTGCTGCTGCTGCCCTCTTACCTGCTGCCCTTCTCCCTGATGTTGTTGCCCGTTTACCTGCTGCTGCTCTGCCTGCTTCTCTTCAGTCAGATGCTGCCCTACTTCCGGCTGCTCTCCGTCCTGTTGTCCCCCCTGATGATGCTGACCTCCTGCTTGCTGATGCCCTTCTCTCTGATGCACTTTTCTCTGATGCTGCTGCCCTCTTGTCTTCTGCTGCCCTTCTCCATGATGCTGCCCTCCCTGGTGCTGCTGCCCTCCTCTATGTTGCCCTTCTCTCTGGTGCTGCTGCCCTCCTGTTTGCTGCCCGCCTGCCTGATGCTTCTGTTGCTGCCCCTCTCTCTGATGCTGCTGCACTCCTGTCTGCTGCATCTGCGGCTGCCCTTCAGTCGGATTCTCCTGCCCTCTTGTCTGCTGTCCTCTTTTCCGCTGCCCTCCTATCTGCTGCATCTTCTGCTGCTGCCCTCCTGTCTTCTGCTCCTGCTGCTGCCCTTCTACCTGCTGCACCTGCTGCTCGTGCTGCTCTGTTACCAGCTGCCATCCTCCCTGCTGTTTCTGCCACTGCTGCTGCGCTCCTTGTCGTTGCATCTTCTGCTGCCTTTTTCCCTGCTTCCCTTTGTCCTGCTGCGCCTGCTGTTCTTGTCCTTTTGTCTGCTGCCATCCTGTATGCTGCCCCCCTCCCTGTCGATTATTCTGCTGCTGCTGCTGCGGCTGCCCATTTGCCTGCTTCTCTTCCCTCCGCTGCTGTCCTTTTACATTTTGCATCTGACGCTGCCCTCCTGTCTTCTGCTTTCGCCCCTGCTGCAATCGAGACTGCCCTTCTCTCTGATGCATCTCTTGCTGGCCTCTGCCCGCCACTGCCCTCAGCACACCCATTCTCGCGGGCTGCGCCCGGGTCCCGCGCCACGGCTGCCCGCTACTCCGCGTCGCTGCCCACCTTGCACACCTTTGCCCACGCTGCCCCACCGCCACCTGTTGACCCCTTCGTTTCTGCTGTCCACGCTGCTGCTTCTGCCCATTTAGCTGATGTTTAATTTGCTGCTGATACTGCCCAACGTGCTGTTGCTGCCCATGTAGCTGAAACTGCCCATGTATCTGCTTCCCATTGTGCCGCAGCAGCGCATGTGGTTGCTGCTGCTTTTGTTGATGCAGCTGTTGATGCCCAATTAGTTGCAGCTGCGCACGTGGTTGCTGCTGCTGTACGTGTGACTGCTGTTTTTGATGCCAATTTAGCTGTTGCTGACCGTGTAGCTGCCGATGATGATGATTGTGCTGCTGCTGTTGCTGCTGGCGCTGTTGTACACCTAACTGCTGCTGCTGTTGTTGCTTCTGATGTTGCCCCTGCTGGAATTGCTGTACGTGTAACTGCTGCAGGTGTTGCTGCAACTGTTGCTCCAACTGTTGCTGCAACTGTTGCTTCAACTGTATCTGCAACTGTTGCTGCTGCTTCTGCTGTTGTATGTGTAACTGCTGTTGCTGCTTCTGCTGTTGTACATGTAACTGCTTCTTTTGTTGCCGATCCTGCTGCCCCTGCTGGTGTCCCTGCTGCTTCTGCTGGTGCTGCTCCTGCTGTTGTTTTTTCTGCTGCCCAGGCTGCTGCTGTCCCTGTTGCTGGTGTTGCTGCTGTCCCTCCTGCTGCTGCCCCCGCTGCTGCCCCTGCTGCTTCCCCTGTTGGTGTCCCTTCTGATGCTGTTGTTCTGGCTGTTGTCTCTGCAGCGGCTGCCCCTGCTGCTTCTGCCCCTGCTGCTGTCCCTGCTGTTGCCCCTGCTGCTTCTGCCCCTGCTGCTGCCCCTTCTGCTGCTGCATCACGTTGCCCTCCCTCCAGTGCTGCTCGAGCAGGCGCAGCACAGCGCTCGTGTAAACCTCCGTAGAGTAGCTCCCCGCCGCCTCGTAGTCCGGGGTCTCTCCATCGGAGTGGTCGTAGCCACACAGCAACCCCGCACCACCACCAGCACGGGTCTTCCCTCTCAGCCTCACCGCCGCTGCCGCAACCCTCCCCAGATGGAAGAGACCCGGCTCTCGACCTGCTTCTTGCGGAGGCTCGGGGTGGTAGTGGTGGTGCTGCTGCTGGTGGTGATGGCGGGGAGGCTCCCGTGTGGCCTCGTCGTCGTTCTGGTCGGAGTGGACCTCGGAGGGCATTGCAGGAGCAGCAGCCGTGCCGGACTCTCCACCTCCCCGGGTCCCGGCCCTCTTCCCAGGGGCGCCGCCTGTCCCCGCAGTGGTTTGGTTATCGTTAAGCGAAGAAGAGATGGAGGAGGTGGATGGAAAGGAGGAAGCAGAGGGAGAGGAAGACGATGTTGACCAAGGAAGTCTCCAAGTTGCCTTCTTGTGGACAGAAGTCTTCAATTTCATCTTCTTCATCTCCATCATCTTCATCTTCGTGTCTGCTCGCCTCCCTGCCCCTCCCGCTTGACTCGCTCGCCACTGCTGAGGGGCTGGTGGTGATGACAATTTCAATTTAGCTTCTTGCTTCTTCGTTTGACCTCTTTTGAAGCTGCTGATGCTGCTGCTCGAGCCTTTGTCAATTCCTCGTGCAGGAGCACTCCTTCCACTTTGAAACTCTGCTGCTCTCTCATCATCAGCAGCAGCATCACCCTCCTTACCACTTGCTCCTCCAATTACCGCTGCTGCTGCTCCTGCTGCTGCCCTTGATCCTAAGTCTGTCCCTGCTGTCCTAGTTCCTGCCCTTGATGCTGCTGCTACATCTACTGCCCCTGTTATATCTGCTGCTGCTGCACCAGACGCTGCCCGCGGTGTGCCGGCCACCCCTGCTGCTCCCGATACGCCAGATGCCCTTGATGCCGCGTCTCCCGCCGCTGCAGCCCCAGACGCTGGCCCTGCTGCTCCCGAATTGCCCGCTGCCCTCGACGCCGCGTCTACCGCCGCCGCTGCCCCAGACGCTGCCTGCGGCACGCCCACGGCCCCTGCTGCCTCCTCCTCCGCTGCCGCAGACATTGCCCCGTCGGCGGCGGCGGAGCCAGAGCCCCCCCCTGCGGCGCAGGCGGTGTGCGTGAAGTGGTCGGCGCTGCCCGTGAGCGAGCCCAGGAAGGAGTCGAACCCGCGACTCGTGGGGAGGCATTCACGGCGCCAGAAGCCCAGGTGCCACTTGCCCACGGCGTGCGTGGCGTAGCCTGCGCCCTCCCGCAACGCCTCGGCTAGAGTGGGCACCCCCGCTGGCAGGCACGACGGCTGGCGTGCACGGATTATGGAGTGCTGCATCCCCGTGTGGATCTGGTACCTGCGAGGTGAGAGGTGTCGGGGGGCGTCGGAGGGTGGGCGAGTGGGTATGGGTAGGTGGGGTGTGGGTGGAGAGATGGGTGAACAGTTGATTCGTGAGACGTTAACTACCTCGCCTGGTATGCAAGAGGTCATGGGTTAGATCCCGACCCTTACGCCTGCTATATATTTGGAGTTTGCATGTTCTCCCCGGGGTCACGTGGATTTTCCTCTGGATCTTCCGGTTTTCCCCTGCACATGTAGAATCGACATCACGTGTTTAGAGTAAATGGCTGCTATAAATGTCCACACGATAAGCCACTTCGTTGAGCTATCATTTGTGGCCAGGTCGCTTCTTAAAAAAGAGCTTAAAGCTCAGTTGGGTCTTACCTGGTAAAATAAAATAAAGCACAGTTTATAGTTTAGCTTCTTCTGGGTTTTACTGCCACCGTTGATGAGCACAAGGCCCAAAAGTCCCCAAAAAACCGTCAAGCGGTGGCAAACGGTGCAGTCTGTGAAAAGTAAACATGATTAAAAGAGTTCACACCATTTCTTGCGTTGAGCAAGATGATCGATTGGTTGGGTAGAGTGTTGGTCAATTGATCAGCTGTTTGGTCGGCTATTTAGTGGCCATTCACTTTGGGTTTTTAAAATTATATTTATGCAATGCTCAGTCTGCTCTTCAATTTATCATCGGTCGTTTAATATAATCGATGAGTAAATTAGTTGTTCACTTATTATACCGAAAATGAGTCTGTTGCTACTTGAGCAAATAGTAATTCAATTCATTGGTAGAACATTCCACCAGTGAGCTGATTACTCAATAAATGAGTTGACTCATCAGCTAATTAATTGATTTATGAATAGCTTAAATGAATTAGTCAGGCGGTCAAGCATTTAACTTGGTCAACTCACCTATCACTCGGTCGGAATCAGCATCGGATCCAATCATCTATGAAGCTCTTTTTCACAGACGTCCACAGTCACTCGATCAGCCAGGTAAATGTAGCCAATTGAGTGGTCAATCAGACAATCGGTCCGTCGTTGGTCACTCGCTGAACTGGTCCGTTACACTCGGTAAATGACGCGATAACCTACCTGCCCGTGAGCAGCTGGCTCCTGGTTGGGGTACAAATGGGCTGCACGTAGTAATTCTCCAAACGCACCTGCACGCACGCAAAGACAAAGATCCCCCCGTACAGCCTTAACAGACTGTTGGGGCAAGTGCTGTTAGCGAGGAGCATCTATGAAGGCCGGCACGGCACACGAGGGGGTGGGTGGCCAGCACCACGCCCGGCCGCCTTTGTGTCCCCAGTGGCGATATTTAGACACTGCAGCCAGGTACCCATGTGAGGCTGAGTGAACCTAGGGGAAACCCAGTACCGGTTCAGATAATCGTCGCTGGTGTTGGTTGTTGTGAGCGGGAATCGAATTCGGGTCACCGGGTTCATTGCCCAGTGCGCTAACCGCTGCATGACCGCACGCTCTCACGAAAGGGTTTTATTTCCTACAATTCAACGGTTCAAAAGTATATATTTTTTACAGTAATATGTATAAAAGGCGAAGGATGTCTGCAACAACTCACTTGGCTCCCAATTATACGTTGCTCGATCAAGAGTCAGATCAGTTGATTCATTTTGTGTAGTGTCGGAAAAGAACCCCAAATTGACAATTGTGTTTTTAGATAAATCTTTGATTAAAAAAAATATTAGTTAAAAATAATTAATTGCGTGAATGTTTAAATAGGATATGCTAGATCGGCGTATGTTACGGTAAAGCTAGTATATATTTTTTATTAACTCTTAAGGTGGGGGGCAGCTCAACCACCCTCCCCTTATTCCGCAGCAGGCCCTTGAATATTTATCAATAATTATTTTTCACTCGAAAAAAATCTAAATTTGTCCCCCCGCTCGCATATTAATCGCGTCGCCTGCAACGATTGGCGCTAAACTCCCCCCCCCGGCCCCCTACCCCCAGGCCCCCTCACCCCACCCCGCCCAGGTGCAGTGAGCAAGGACCGTGGATCGAGCGCACGCACCCCCTGCGCTGCCAGCCGGTCGAGGTGCGGCGTGCGCACGTGCGGGTTGTGGTAGCCGATGTCGTTGAACCCTTGGTCGTCCACGAGGATGAAGACGATGTGCGGCCGGGGGGCCGCCGCGCCCGCTTCCGCGCCCAGGCACCGCGGTGCCCAGCAGCAGAAGCGGAGCGCCGACACGAGGAGGAGCAGCTGCTGCCGCTGCCGCCACTGCTGCTGGATGGGTCCCATCGGCGCGAGGTGGGTGGGACGGAAGAAGCGGAGGAGCCACCTGGGGATGAATGTATGGATAGGGGGGGGGGGGTCGCTTCCTTCCTCTGCCAGACGCTCACTCTACACCTGTGTCTACACCTTCGTTTAACCTGTCTACCTGCTACCCTGTGTATCTTTTTGTCGACCTAACTATCCACCTATCTGGATAACTAACTTCAATGTGTATACTTATCTCCCTGCCTACCTGTTTGTATTTTTGTCCAACAACTTACTTGCCTACATGTCTGTCTGTGTAAGTACCTGCCAGTGTCTGCATATGCGTTGTTTACCCACCTGCCCGTGTATATACATAAATATATACCTGTGCAAATACCTGTCGGTGTGTCTCTCCGCCTATGTACATAGCTATCAGCTACTCTGTCGACTTGACTGTCTAGCCACCTACCTACCTGTTTCCTACCTTCTTACCTGTATATCGATGTTGCTAAATGTTCCGTGTGATTGTTCACTTATCCTGCTTGTGTGTACCCATGCAGCTATTGATGTTCCTACCTGCATACCTGTGTATTTACCTGCATGCCTACCTGTATTATTGTCTACCCACCTACCTGTATGTCTACCTGTTGAAATGTCTACCGACCTATGTACCTTTCTGCCTATCTACCTATATGTACCTACTTACCTAATTGTCTAATTATCTACCTGTCCACCTATCCACCTATCTACTGCCTGTCTGTATAAATACCCGTCTGTATTTTTGTTTGACTACCTCCTTACAAATTAATATATTTTACTGTCTCTCTACCTGTATAAAAGTTGATCTACCCACCTGTATGTCTACTTGTGTATCAACTTACCTGCCTACTCACCTGTATGTCTACCTGTTTATTGACTTACCTACTCACCTGTCTGAACTTGTGTCTGAGTTTTCGACCTACCTATCTGTATATTTACGCTTATATGCCCAACGAAGCCTCACCGAGGCTCAATATTCTTTTTTCAGGAGGGTCCTGCCAAGTTTTCACAGTAGAGGAGTGGGCGACCATTGCGGCATAGATTCCAAATGTATAAATGTGCGGTACAATTATTTCAGATCAACGTAAACTTGGACCTTGACACCTATGTCCACGTCTGTGTTTTGTCGGTATGTCTTTCTGCCTACCTGCCTCAACCCTTCCTATTTGGCCTAGTCTGTCCGCATGCCCTATCCACGCGTCAGCGTTGTATGTGTGAGTCCTGAAAAGCATGTGGGGGGAGGGGGGGGGTGGTTGGTTATCGCGCCGCACTACAAACCCGCCAATCCGAGTTCAATTCCTGCTCACGGCCAACACCAGTGACGATTATGTAAAACACGGTCCTACCCTGCCCCCCACCCCTAAGTCGACTCAGCCCCAAATAAGTACCTGGTGACAAAGGCGTCAGGGTCGTGGTACTAACCACTCACCCCCTCGTGTGCCGTGCCGGCCTTCATATGTGCTCGCTAACAGCGCTTGCCCTGACAGCCTGGCAAAGCTATACGGGGGACCTTTGTCGTTGGTTGCGCTGACAGAGGTCAATCGCCCCACCACACTTGGAACAGGGGAGCGATGGATCATGAGCCGGGGGAGAGAAACGAAAGAGCACCGTCAGTGCGGGTCGGCTCGACAACACCACGCGGAAGGATGCGGACGCCACGCGTGCACACGCGCTCGTGCACGCTTCACGTCTGTACGTAACAAGAAACCACGTGAACTGGCACTCCCAGAGGCATACGTCAGGGACGCCGCGGTGGCGAGCTGTTAACTCCCTCGCCTGGTATGCAGGAGGTCGTGAGTTCGATCCCGATCCCAACCCGGACGCCTGCTATATATTTGGAGTTTGCGCCTCTATCTCTCCCCGTGGTCGAGTGAACTTATCTCCGGGTCCTCCGGTTTTCCCAAGGACTTTTAGAATCACCAAGCATTTAGAGTATTGGCTGCTATAAATTTCCACGTGATAAGCCACTTCGTTGAGCTATTACTTACGGACAGGTCGCTTCTGAAAAAGAGCTATATAGCTCAGTGGGCCTTACCGGGTAAAATAAATAGTTTTTTGTTTGTTTTAATACAGCAGCAGCGAACTTTGCTGGACGTCCTTGTACTGATGAGTTCCAATTAGCACAAAGCCATGACAACATAACCACCACGCATTCGGTCACCTCTTTTGAGCTGAAGGTCTGAATAAGGCTGAGACGTTTTGCGCACGCAATTCGCGCCTTTGCGTGTCGTTAAATCTGCAACAGCCATCATGCGCCGCTAAGTGGCGGTGACGTCATCGCGGTGTTTGTGCCAGGATAGGTACACTTTGAGGCCACATAAAGTGTCTTAAGGCTCGCTGATAGGTCACGGGATAGACCCAGGTGCCAGGAGTTGACTGAGATGATTGGCAGATGCACCACCTGTGCTCCCCACTGTGCCACCTCTGCGTGTTATCTGCCCAGCGCTCTGCTCATTGTTGTGAGCATCGCTCCTCTGCCCACCACTGTTATTGGAGGGCGACTGCCTCCAACTGCCCAGCAGCGTCCTTCACGAGTCTCCTCCATCCACAGAAGCCGATCTTGACACCGCTGATACCGATCATCTGCAAGTCCAATCAGCTCCGCATTCTTCAGTATCATATCAGCCCATCTCTTCTTTAGCCCGTGCCCCGCCCGTTTAGCCCCCTCTATCTGGCAAATCAAAGGCTGCTTGGGCAATGCGGTGGCTGGGCATGGGGGCTGCATGACTCAAACAAAGGTAGTTTCCCTGCCAGATGAGCTCACCGATGATGGGGGCTGTGTCCTGATCTCTCAAGGATCTGTGAGCACCCCACACAATCCAGTCTGTTAAACCCAGGATGGATCGATCACTGGCGTGCCAGCCTAAATGTTTCAAACCGGCCCAGATGTTCCATCAAAGGGGTCTACTTTCGGAAGCAAAAAATAAGCGAGAGCATAATTGTGGCCGAGATGGCCAAGAGCTTCGTTTGGCGCGATGTACCAGGCAGCTTCCACACAGCAGCGTGACGTAGCTTGTGAAAATGAAATGCCGCTTGACTCATTCAGAGTGAGACCTCTACTACCCATGCAGAGCTGGTCATAGGCACACTGATCAGTTATGGAAGCGCCTCCACTCTCTCCACAACTGTACCATTACTCAAGCGGTAGTTGAGTATTTGATGACAAAAAGATACCCAGGCAGGTGCTTTGTTCCGGTTGAGGGCTGATGGTAAGATCCGCATCTCTTAGTGGCACATTCTAGGTTCAGCAGTAGCGTCTCTAACTCCTGAGAGCGAGGAGTGATGAATAATTATCAGATCATCAACATACGTAACAATAGGTAGCCATCCCTATTGTGACGTATGTTCTGTAACGGGAATCCATTCAATGTATCCGCACCAGGCGAATATTCCTCTGGTACAAACAAAGGAAAACATCTCAAACTACGTGGTCAAAAGAGATAAATGAATCATGTGTATGCCAGAAGACATCCCTGTGAAAAGGAAATAATGACTCCAGGCCACGAAGTTTTGCCCGGGCGTGATGGCCCTAGATAGCTGGAATGGCTTTTCCCATCAGTCAGCATTTCTGGGGGGTCTGAACTGGGTACCCAATGCAGCCGTAGCATCTGCGTGAACCGCAGTCCCATTCCCACTCGGCACCACGAGGACTTGGGCAAGATGCCAACGCCAGCTGCAAGCGATGAAACTCCGCTTGAAACTTTCAACAGCGGTCTAAGACCAAGATAGTAGGACCACTTTCAAAGACAAAGATCCCCCGTGTAGCCTGTCACAGACTGTCGGGGCAAGTGCTGTTAGCGAGCACCTATGAAGGCCACCACGGCACACGAGGGGGTAGGTGGCGAGCACCACGGTTGGCTGCCTTTGTCTCCACAATGCTGATGTTTACGCACAGTGCCAGATACTCATTAAAAGCTGCCCAGGGTTCTTCGTCCGTGCGTGACTGTGTATGACAGTGCAACTAAGGCTTCTGTGCGACTGTTGAGACTACGTGTGTAACATGATGTGTGTGTGGGGGGGTGGGTGTAATGTGCGTGTGTGTGTGGGGAGCGGTAGTGCAACAGTTAGCGCCCTGCGCTACCATCCCGGCAACCCCCGTTCGATACCCATTCATGGCCACCAACACCAGTGACGATTATCTGAACTGGTTCTGGGCCTCCCCTAGGTCGACTCAGCCTAAAATGAGTACCTGGTGTGGTGTGTAAACATCGCCACTGGGGACACAAAGGCGGCCAGGCGTGGTGTTGGCCATCCACCCCCTCGTGTGCCGTGCCGGCCTTCATGGGTGCTACTCGGTAACAGCACTTGCCCCTTCAAGCTGATCAGGCTATATGGGAAATCTTTGTTTTGTGTAACCGTCTTCGTCGCGTGTCTATGCGAAATTGTGTTGGGACTGTGACTGTGGGTGTGTGATGTGAGTGCGTGGCACGGAGCGCAACTATGCCAATGCAATGCGTTACTCAGCTACACGTGCTGCACACAGGCAGTCATGCATCTTTAGACCATACAATGACAAAGATCCCCCGTTTAGCCTTAGCATACTGTTGGGGCAAGTGCTATGAAGACCGCCCTGGCACACGCGCACAAAGGGGGTTAGTGTAGTTGACACCACGCTCGGCCGCCTTTGTCTCTGCAGTGGTGATGTTTACACATCACACCAGGTACTCATTTGAGACTGAGTCAACCTACGGGAGGTCCAGCGCCGGTACATATATTCGTCACAGATGTTGGCCGCGAGCAGGAATCAAACACTCTTGGACTACTAAGGGTCACCAGATTCCTAGAGCAGTGCGATAGCCACTGCGCCACACACCCGGAGAGACGTACAAAGACACAAATGCCCCGGAAAGCCTGAGCAGACTGTCAGGGCAATTGCTGTTAGCGAGCACCTACAAAGGCCGGCACACGGCACATACATCCTATAATCACACATGTACAGATGTAGTGACATCGCGGTATGTCACTGTGCTGTGCCGGCCCTAGAGTGGCACGGCGTGCGATGTAACGACATCACGGACACCACTATGATGTGGGTGTAGTGCCGGCCCTAGAGGGGCTCTGTGAACGCTGGTTGATAGCGCTAAGCGGCACCACACTTGTCGTGCAGTGCCAGCCCTGCAGGATAGGGTGTGGGTGTGCCGGGGTTAATAAAGGCCATGGCACTCTGGTTGAGGGGGAGGCCGAGACACCCATCGCCTTCCGTAGCATACTATTGGCGCTAGAAAAGGCTGCCTTCACGAAGATGGACCACGACGGAGTCGATTCGCTGGTCCTCGAGAGATTGTTGACGTTGGCAAAGGACCTCAACATCATCCTGCTGGCTGTTGGCAAAGACGACTTGTTTCTGTGACCAGTTACAAGCTAATCACTCAGCTGTTTCAATGCTAAATTCTATGCTAATTCCTTTGTCAAGGGGTACCTCTGTGGATGTGTATACTTTAACTTAGCTATTTCAATGAGCCATTTCAATGCTAAATTATATGCTAATTCCTTTGTCAAGGCGCTTTGTTTTCCTCTCACACAGCTTAAAGGTCGTGATCTAAGCGTGGCTTCTCTCACTCCAGCGCTGTCCTCCAGACAGTCTCGTCCCTTCACCTGATGAAGGCCGCTTGTGTTGTGGCCGAAACGTCGTGATTTTTTGTTATTTTATTTTCACCTACGTGACTTTACCCAATAGAACCAAAGAGTAAAGACGACTTGTCTTCTCTCAAGGTTGCAAGATGCATCCAGGCACACATGCTCTTGCAACATCATAAGGGGTTAGCGGCGTGTACCGCGCCTCGTGAGGTGTGGGATACACCCGAAGATGTGGAACCCGTCCAAGCCTGCGCTTCCACTCAAGGCGGAGGCTGGTGGGGGGACGGCATGGTGCGATGAGATGAACAACTGTGCTAGCCCATGCGTCGCCCGCGCTTTGCGAGGGAAACATCGTTGGCGGTATAGGGGTCACGTCGAATACAAAGCCGCAACCAGTTTCTGATGAAAAATGGATGGATAAACTTTGTTCTGAAAATGCGGAATTGTCCGAGTCCCAGAGGGGTGGAGTTGAGGTCGCTTTTGTGTTTAGCAAGGGCAAATTTGACATCAGCCGCACTACGCTTTGAGTGAACACATTGATACGGGTGACGCCGCTCCCATCCGGGAGAACCCCTACAGGCTGAGCACTATGGAAAAGGAACACGTACGGCTAGCGGTTGATTAAATGTTGGGCGCCGGTATCA